TCGAAGGGAGAAACAAAGTGTCTATTTTATCTGTGGAACATTGGGTCACTTTCAAGTAAATTGCCCATACTTTGGTGCGCAGTGAAGTAGACAAAGCTTTGACTGACAATGCAACATGTGCAGGAGAACCAGCAATAGGTGGTTAATACTGCTGCTACATCTCAGGAAATTAGAGTAGCCCAGGGTGAGCCTGGCCACCAACTTGGGGAGTACAGTGAACAATTTTCAGGGATGGATGGGTGATTCTTAGTATGTGGCTGTTAGGGTACAGGGGCAATGGGTAAGAGTTCTTGGTTAATACAAGAGGCTTCACTTACAGGAAAAAAGATAGCTATCACCAATCTTGATTGTGGCATTGGATTCCTTGGAAAGGATGTACTGTAGAGCTTATTGACCAGTTTCTTCTGTGCAATTGGTGAACTAATATTATGATATAGAGTTATCTGATGTTGGCCAGATTAACCCTAGAAGTACATGAGTGTATGTGGGAGAGGAAGTGATAGCACTGAAATGTACAAAGTGGTGTTCCATGGGTTACTACTGAGGAAGTCTAGTGCATTTGTGCTATATACCGTGTTTATAGAGCCAACACATGAAATAGTTTGTTTTCTGTCTAGAAAACAAGCAGAATGAACTTTGGGTAGGGTAATCATCATTTTGAAGGGGGACTAAAGTCCTGGTGTTGTTCTTCAATTGTGGATGATTGATTATCCAGGTGTATGCTGGGATTGACATTAGCATGATAAGTAAAGAGGAAGTAATAAAAAATGTTAGCAGAAAAGTTTGGGTTGCATTCATTGTGCCACATTTGATGATGATGCAGGCAGTCAAGACTCATCACAGTAGCAGCAGCTTTGTGACTTGGTGGAATGTGTCAATGTATTTGTGGTACTGGATTGCCAAATCGAGTTAAACAACAGTCACAAACCATCACATAGATAAAGGTGATGCATGTCTGATTAAACAACCACCATGCAGACAGCACTGAAGTATAAATGATATTAAAAGGACAGGATTATACACCCTTCAGTTAGTGCTTGGTCATCTCCAATAGTGAATGTCAGGAATGTTCTGCATTGATTTTAGATGGGTGAACACAGGAACTTGCATTTTGCACATTTCCATTACTATGAATATCTGGATACTGGCAGGTTGAGATGTATGAGAGCAGACCTAAGAGACGGTTTGTACTAGTTCTGCATCTTGCCATTTGGCCTGTGTGACACATCAGACACTCTTGAGCTGTTAATGGAGCTTACACTGCAGGGGTTGTAATGGGAGAAGTGCCTGATCTTCTTACTTAAATAGTTGAAATTCATCTCTCATGTCATATACACAGTTTTCGTTAATTTTAAGCAACAGTTGGCAATGAGTCCTATTAACTAACTGCCTTCCTTTAAGTCTATCTGTTCAAAATTAGGAACAGCCATTGTTTAGCCACGTGCAAAATGTCTCATATGAACAATATAATAATATTTTAAACACTGTTTGGATTGGTATGTAGATGTGAATGACTACATTTTTTGGGGCTTGATATTTTGGTTGGTGCAAGGGAGCTGAATAGTGTTCTGTCACCTTATAAACTGTGCCTTATGTTCTAATTCCTTGGTTTTTATCTAGAAATTTGAGTGTGGTCGTAGTTTGCAATTTTGTAAAAAAAAAGAAAAAAAGTGGTATTTAATTTATCCAACAATAAAGTTAAGTTGTCATTTTAATAGAAAATGGCCAGTAAAAACAAATTATTCTACTGTGACACCATTATAATACCAATACCCTATCATTTGTAGTATTATTTGTATAGAGTATAATATTATTTGTACATAAAAAGCTTATGATTAACCATATCTCTACTAACTTCCTTATAGTCAGTTGAACTTGCAAATGAAACATTGTGTGCCATGTCACAAGTTTACGAGGCTTCACTTGGTATCTTGTCTTTCAGTTTTATGATTTTGAAATGGTACAGAAAATAATTATATAATATTAAATGTATCTGTAAAGGTACTTGACTTAATTCTTTAATGGCTGTCAGCTAAGTAAAATCTTTGCTTTCTATTGGTTACAAATAATAGCAAATGTCAGAGAGAATTTATGACATATTTTGAAAGTAGGATGCTCTGTGGGAGGTGTGACATGCAGCCTTTACTTTATTGCTTATATCTCCATAAAGCAAAAAGCTTTCACACTTCAGATTGACATTTTAGCTTGGGAATATGTATAGTATAACATAACATAGTGTTTTGGAACAACATTGGACCTATTTGTCCATCTCGGCTGTTCCATCTACTAAACTAAACTAAAATTATTAATGAATAAATTTTTTAAAAAATCTTCAAGCCAGCCCTTATCATTCATATACTTATCAAGCTTTCTCTTCAAATCATTTAAATTTACTGCTTCCTCAACATCTGAAGGCAACCCATTCCAAAGACCAACCATCCTGTTAAAAAATAAAATTCTTAGCTGAAGATGACTCCTATCCTGCCAAAATTTATATTTGTGTCCCCTTGTCCTACTATTTTCACTGTTAAGTATGACAAAAGATGATGCATCAACACTGTCAATTCCCTTTGCAATCTTAAACACTTTAATCAGATCCCCCCAACTCTTCTTTTTTTCAGGAGAAAACAATTTCAGATATTTCAACCTCTTGCATGACAAACCTTCCATCCCATGCACCATTTTAGTAACCCTTCTCTGAACCCTTTCCAAAAATTCAATGTCTTTCCAAAGGTAAGGAGACCAAGACTGAACACAGTATTCCAAATTTGGCCTAACCAGTGACCTAAACAATAAAATTATAACCTCTTTAAACTTTGTAAGTGAGAAATTTCATAGAAAGTTACAATACCTTAGAGAGGTAGTAAAAAATGTTGAAATGAATAGTTTGGACATAGTTTAACATTTATTTATACATATAATTTTATAACTTTAAGATATACATGCTAGTTATTCAGGAATAGTTGAGGATCTGAGCATTGGAAAAATTAATTTACCTGATCATTTTTTAGAAAATATCAAGTTTTTGCTGAATATACATCAAACATTGTGAATGAATAAAACAAACTATAATGCTTACTGTGTACACTTAGTTAGGAATTTTGTGCCTTACAGTACAGAGAACTTAACAAGCAAGGAAAAGATGTCTCTTTGGTCTGTGAAGGTTAGTCAGAGCGATATTTGGATGAGCAACAAATCCCTAAAAAAAAGGCCCTTATTTTTGAGTTTAATATATCGTCATATGTCAGACATATTTTAAACAAAAGATCACCATCCATGTATCATGTTTTGCCCTGTTGTGCTCAGTTATCTGTGTGTTAAAGGCCCAAAAATATTTTAGGAACAACACTAATCTGGAACTTTTAGTAATTACATTGGTAGTATTTCTCTACACATATTGTTTCAATTTATGATTGCATGATCATTATTCAATGAAAAAATCTTTTTAGATCACATTTAACATAAAACTTAATATGCTGCCTTTTATATTTGCAAGAAATGTGTTCACTTAAGCTTTCCATGAGCATGAGTTGTTTAGGACTTTGTACAAATAGTTGCATTTATTACTTTGTATGCATTTCATTTATGACTTTCAGGCATTGAAGAACAAAAGACAGAATTATTTGTAGTACTTTAAACTAATTTTACTGAACTAGTTAGTATTACTTGCAAACATATGTTTCTCTTTATTCATTCTGCAAAAATATATTGTAGAATTTCTATTAAAGAAACATCACCGACAGAGAACCTCATCTTCTCACAGTCTTACTTATGTACCTTAAAATGCCACTTAACAATTAAGACTTTACCTGAAAGTAATTAAACTTTACAACTAATAAGAGCAACATGTGTAACAGTTATAAGAAAATGTGAACAGAATTAGTTTTTCATCATTAGAGTAATGCCATCAGAAACATAAATAATCTAAATTTGCTGTTTTGAATACTTCTGAACTAAAGTCACTGAAAAATATTTTTCAGAAAGGGAATCTCTTTGTTCTTATGTCTACTTATTTTGCTGTGTAATACACCTCATACCTGATGGGGATAGTTGCTAATTATTCCCTCAGAATGCCAACAGCAGCATGCAGAATACACTGTTATTTGAGCTTCTATGACCTTGTGTTGAGAAATCAAGTTTCAATTGGCTAGCTTTTAAAGTTTAGTTTAGCATATGCTAAGTTCACATTACTGCATTTCTATGCCCCGTTGAGGGTTAAACAGCAACTCGCATATCCCATCATTATGACAAAACCACAGATGTATCCAGAGAATTAGCAGAGCTATCCTGTAGTAAGCCAAAATCTATGCCACTGATACATCCACCAGGACATCATTCTCGAAGGGAGAAACAAAGTGTCTATTTTATCTGTGGAACATTGGGTCCCGTATGATTCAACACTATTTGGTAAACATCCTCCTTCAGCAATGCATTCTCAGCTGATACTATATTATACTTACTAGTAACTAGTATATGAAGCTAGACAGATCCCATGATATACAGCTTTAGCTGTGATCAAATCTTCACTCTTTAAGGGCACAAGCATTGCCATGCCATTGCAACCTCTTGCAGCCTGTCTTAGTGATTCTTGGCAAGCAAATGTCTGGACTTTGTGGACTTCGTCTCTCTTATGGGAATGGCAGATAAAACATTTTGACTGGTCTGTGAGTTTTGTTGTCCTAGCTCTAGTTGGTACATTGTAAAGGCTATCAGGAACAGAGATAGATGGATCAAGATATTTCTCCTTCTAGATGTGAATGAGGTTCTTTTAACTTGAGTATACTTGGTTGCAACTGTGATGATGTATTAGCCTTGGAATGCAAAGGTCCAAAGCATATCTGTTCAGCAAGTAGCCTGTCCCAAACAATGTCTTGCCTAACTCTTGCTGTAGATATAATGGCATCAATGCCTGTTTGTCTTGTGGTGCTTAGCTCTTGTCTTTGTTTTTTGACATAAAATGCATTTAAGCCAGTCTGTATCAAGTCTTTGTTTCTTTTCAGGAAGAAACTTGATTGCACTTGAAGAGGAACTATCAACCATTGTTCATATTCAACTCATCACCATTCCCGAAACACACTAATGCTACTTAGGTGTAGTATGTCAAAATCACATAATTGAATTACAGTTAATAAATAATCATCCACTGTCTACTACTACATATAATACCCTTAAATTTCTATCCGGCGATTACAAACAAAAGAAAGTATTATCTACATAAAATTTACATGTAATATACATTTCTAAAATAACAGAATATGCCTTGTGAAACAAGATGAAGAAGTCATTACCATTAAGAAAGGTAGGAACCATTACAGATCAAATACACCCAGTAATATTTCTTAGAATGTGAATAAAATGATTTCATTGACAATATTTTAGAGGGGTCTGAATAGATACCAAATTAGCAATCATTCTGTTAAATGTACTACTGAAATGTTTAATTGATAAATAACAGAAAGTGTACTAATAACAGTAGTAAAATTCAAATATAATGTGAATAGATAATGTAGACATAAATTGTGATAAATTTAATGATAAGATTTCCCTATTGTATATATAATGGTGTCTTTGGGATACTTTCAAGCAGTCCTTTAGGAACACATTGCAAGTTTAAGGAAAAGGGGCATTGGTTTGGGTATTTTATACACAAATTATTATCTTTATAAATTCAAGATTGTTCAGGTAGTTCTTCTTATTTCATTCATTGGGTGCAAGGTGCAACAAAAGTGCAATCTGGAAAACCCATTAAGAAGTGATTTTGATCCAAAATTGTAATCAAGGCAAAAATTCAGATTTTCAAACCATTAATAGTTATGTTCCAGAGTCTCCTGTTTGGATATCTTTTGAGATATAACAATACTGTTTGCTGTTATTGAAGACAATAATCCCCTAAAAGTGTCGTGCATAAGATTTAATGTGGTTTACTGATGAAGACACATTATGACACCTTTTGATATATAGTGCATGTGAATTAAAGGACTGTGTTAGCCTTATAGGGGGACTGGTGTTGGTCTGTTTCCAACTCATTTTCATCACTTTTAGCACACAGGTTAATGAGGATAACAGAACAAATAATCTTAAGGAAATCCTAAATGTGGTAAATATGAAAATTCCTTGCCATTCCATTTGCCTATAAGTTAAGTGTTAAAATCAAACTAAATGTAGATTGTGAAATCCACATACTCATCTAACAGACATATAAATTAATTAAAACTAATACCACATCAGAAGACAATTCACTTCACAAGTTTATAATTGTAACAAAGAAAGAAACTTACTAAAAATTTAGTATAGATATAGGCTTCCAGGTCTTATAGTCATCACTGTTGATATTTAAGCTTGCATTTTCAACATTTTAATCTTATTGGCCTCACCACCATACAAAAATATATACTTCACACTGTCATTTTACACACTTGTGTTTCTCACTAAACATTCCATGTAAGTGATACCATCCTAAACTCATACTGTGCCATCATGTAAATGCCTACTTATTTTCTGTATGTTTTCAGAAAGACAGTCAGAAAAATATTCAGAAACCGCAACACAATACGATCACAATTTGGATATACCAAAACACCTAATGAATGATTGGAGAGGAATAACACCATTCACAGCATTCCTTGTGAATGTTGATACCGGTACATTGGAGAAACAAACAGACCAACTAAAGTTATAATTCAAGAGCATAATAGACTTACAAGACTTAGAATGCAGATTTATCTGTAGTAGCCCATCATACTAGAGAAGAATCCATGCAATAAATTGGAATAATATTGAAATAATAGGCAATGAATTACACACAAGAAAAAGAAAGATAAAAAGAAATCTTCTACAACATCCACCTAACTATTGAAATACTCGGTCAGCCTAGCATAGAAGTCGGCAAAATCTGGATAACTCCAATGAAAACTTTCAATTATTTAGTTTATTCAGACTTTAATAAGGGAGGCCCTAGTTGAATGGGTAACATGCCAGACATCCTGTCAAGAAGACCTAGAATTGAACCCTGGCCAACTACCAATACAGAAAAACAGGATTTCTCTGAAGACTACAGCAAATTAGCAGCTAAAAAAAAATAGTTAGTAATTATGATTTAAATAGAGAAAGACAAATTGCCTATTAATTTTTGTGTATGTGTGTGAAACCATTTTTGATTAATAAATCTTTAAATTTCATGATCATATTTTTTGTTTTTTATGTCAGAAAGCCATTGCAATCTCATTGTAAGTTAAATTATTTTGCTAGATGAAGTTTAAAAAGTTTGATTGTTTTACCAGTCATTTTAATCACTAAAAGTTATATACCACCAACTTTTTTCTCTTGTTTGGTATTGGATCTCCTGTTTTTGTAGTTTTTATCAGAGGTTGTATTTTGGTTTTAGGTGTAATGAGTAGTGCCCTGGTAGGCTTAATTGTTGGAGTTTCAATTAAAACTACTCGTTACACAAAATTTATTTATTGGAGGATTTGTCGTGATGAGTGGAGCCACAAGTTGCTAACTAGAGGTAGTTTACAGTTAGACTAAAGAATGAGTCTCAGGCCAATGGTGAACACTTACAATAACTTTTATTAATAATTAACTCATTTAACTAACAGTTAATAAAGACAAAACTTCCTTTATGACAAACAACATAAAATGGCTTTTAACTCGATTAAAATACTTGTAATATCTTCAGTATACACTTCCATTAATACACATAGATATATTCAACATAACATTTTATAAAACATTGGTATTAACTGACTGAGAGAGAACAGTAAAGTATACTTACAATAGTGTTGTATTCGGAAATCGAATAACATTGGAAACCTTCATGTTGCCAAAATAACCTTCAGTACTTCAGAGGGCTTTTTCTGAATTCCAGAGGAACTCTAATTTTCAGCCTCTGACATGGATTTATAAAGCAAATTTCTGTGTATTATCTCGAATATCTAAATAGGACACAGCATTACATGCAAGTAGTCCTGTGGTCCTATTGGATGCTTTAGGGGAATCCCCGGGCTGTTCCAAATCCATAACCAAAACTCTAAAGTAATTGGTTACAGTTATGTTGTGTTAGCCGGTTACCTATTTACTTGTACAACTACACCCATGTGCTGTAAGTGATATTGCCTCAAAGCACCGATATCGCTTGCTAAACCAAACTTTGCTGTAGCTTTCCTAGTTCTACAAGGTTGAGGTCAACCATTCGTCAACCTGTCGCAAGTTCTAGTACACTCATCTCGTTTCTAGGCAATGCTTCTTACGTAGCTTAACTTTGTTTTTCTAGTTCATCCACGTGTCTTAGTTGCTTACAAAAAATACAACCACTAATTTAACTTTATTCTTAAACTTTCTAAATTAATAAAAACTTCTAAAAGCGTCGAAGCAATTGTAAATTCCCTCGAAAATAACCCAAGTGCTTCATAGGGGAATATGCTCTCTTTACTTACTGTTCTATAAAACTTGGATGTACAGGTGTGTGTGTATACCTGTACTATTATATATATATATATATATATATATATATATGTGTGTGTGTGTGTGTGTGTGTGT